CCTGCACTTACAAGTTCATGGCTGAATGTGTGTGGCAATACATAGAGGTTGATCTGACCCAGCTTTGAAAGGCACTCCCAGGAGGCTATCTGAGCCCTGTTGGGTAAAGCTGCAAGTTCTGGCTCTCCACTGGGCCTGCACTGCTTAGATCCCTGTCTGGGAGGGGCTCTGTGCCTCGCTGCTCCCGGACACCCCGCCCTGTGCTGCGCTGGGTGGGCGGGGCTGCCATTTTCTCTGTGGTTTGGCCAGACGTAGGAAAGTTACCCTCTAAGCTTCTGTTTTGCTAGATTGTCCATTTCCTGGTTCTTTGGCAAGAGAGATGGTTTTTGTTGAGGCTCTTTCACCCTTTTCTCCCGGTGCCTGTTAATATATCCTGATTGCTGTCTTCTCCAGTCTGGGATATTTCCAAGTTTGGGGTATATGAAGCCAAAAGAAAACCCAGAGAACTTACCAATTCATTTGTTGTTCCTTGACTCTCAAGGTCCCTTGCCAGTCTACTTTCTCTTCACCTTTCAGAACCTTCCTATTTTTGTTTTATGTGTCAGATGCAGGGGTTAGATGTCCTTTGGGAGAGGGATAGGGAAAAAATGGACTATCTTCCTGGAAGCAGAAATGCGTGTTTCTAAGGACTAGGCATAGACATGGCTTACTTTGTTTCTGATGACATTCCCCTGCAGAGCCTCTGTCTCATGGTCCTTCTGGATGTGGGTGAAAGTGAGTTTCACCACTTCCAGGCCTGCCCATAAGACATCTACACAATACCCACCCCCACAATGCATGATAAAAACAGGACCAGTATTGAAGGTGTTGGCATTGTATGCTGGAAAGAGTCTAGATCCTTCCACTTGGAGAGTTCCCTGACTTTCTTTACTGTGCAAAGTAGGCAAGAAATAAGCCTGTATTGCATTGAGCTACTGAGATCTTAGGACTGTTACAGCAGCTAATATTTATGTAGACCAGTGCACCATGTCCCTTCTCTTTTCTTCACTTTCTCCCCCAATGAGGCTGGACCTCAAGGTTCATCTATGCAATGTTTATCATGTCACTTTCCCACCTTGTCTTTCTGCCTCACAAATCCCAAACTGTTCACTCTCTATCACTGCAGCTGTACATTTCCTTGTCTTATTCTGGGGTGACTGAGTGCTACCGGGGGCAATTCAGTGATGGTGCCAGGTAGCACCACCCCCTCAGTCTCAATTAACTGGGCTCTCAGCAGCCCTTAGCAATCCTTAGACATGCTCCTGGTCACCTCCCTCTCCATTTTCTCTAGCCACTATCCCAACACTTTCCTCTCATTCTCTACTTCCCATTTCAACTCCTTGCTTCCCCTTAGAGTGGAAAAAAAATCTTCAGAGAGGTATAAGCTTCCTCAGCCTTCTGTGCTCTCATTTAATGAGCTTCTCTAATGCTTCCTCTCTTTTCTTTCTTTTTTAAAATTTTATTTATGTATGTATTTATTTATTTATAAATTTACATCCAAGTTAGTTAGCATATAGTGCAACAATGATTTTAGGAGTAGATTCCTTAGTGCCTCTTCTCCATTTAGCCCATCCCCCCTTCTACAACCCTTCCAGTAACCCTCTGTTTGTTCTCTATATTTAAGAGTCTCTTCTGTTTTGTCCCCCTCCCTGTTTTTATATTATTTTTGCTTCCCTTCTCTTATGTTCATCTGTTTTGTATCTTAAAGTCCTCATATGAGTGAAGTCATATGATATTTGTCTTTCTCTGACTGGTTAATTTCGCTTAGCATAATACCCTCTGGTTCAGTCCACATAATTGCAAATGGTAAGATTTCATTGTTTTTGATTGCCTAGTAATACTCCATAGTATATATACCATATCTTCTTTATCCATTAATCTGTCGATGGACATTTGGGCTCTTTCCATACTTTGGCTATTGTTGATAGTGCTGCTATAAACATTGGGGTGCACGTGCCTCTTCGAAGTAGCACACCTGTATCCCTTGGATAAATACCTAATAGTGCAATTGCTGGGTCATAGGATAGTTCTATTTTTAATTTTTTGAGGAACTTCCATACTGTTTCCCAGAGTGGCCACACCCAGTTTGCATTCCCACCAGCAGTGCGAAAGAGATCCTCTTTCCCTGCATCCTTGCCAACGCTATCATTGCCTGAGTGGTTATTGTTAGCCATTCTGACAGGTGTAAAGTGGTATCTCATTATGGTTTTGATTTGTATTCCCTGATGATGAGTGACGTTGAGCATTTTTTCATGTGTCGGTTCGCCATCTGGATGTCTTCTTTGGAGAAGTATCTATTCAGGTCTTTTGCCTGTTTCTTCACTGGATTATTTGGGTTTTTTATTTGATTTTTTTTTTTTTTGGCGTTGAGTTTGATAAGTTCTATATAGATTTTGGAAACTAACCATTTACCAGATATGTCATTTGCAAATATTTTCTCCCATTCTGTTGGTTGCCTTTTAGTTTTGCTGATTGTTTCCTTCGCTGTGCAGAAGATTTTTATTTTGATGAGGTCCCAATGGTTCATTTTTGCTTTTGTTTCCCTTGCCTCTGGAGACATGTTGAGTAAAACATTGCTGTGGTTGGGGTCAAAGAGGTTTTTTCCTGCTTTCCCCTCTAGGATTTTGATGGCTTCCTGTCTTATGTTGTGTCTTTCATCCATTTTGAGTTTATTTTTGTGGATGGTGTAAGAAAGTGGTCCAGGTTCATTTTTCTGCATGTTGCCGTCTAGTTTTCCCAGCACTATTTACTGAAGAGACTGTCTTTATTCCATTGGATATTCTTTCCTGCTTTGTCAAAGATCAGTTGGCCATACATTTGTGGGTCCATTTCTGGGTTCTCTATCTGTTCCATTGGTCTGAGTGTCTGCTTTTGTGCCAGTACCATACTGTCTTGATGATTACAGCTTTGTAATACATCTTGAAGTCCAGGATTGTGATGCCTCCAGCTTTGGTTTTCTTTTTCAAGATTGCTTTGGCTATTTGGGGTCTTTTCTGGTTCCATATAAATTTTAGGATTGTTTATTCTAGTTCTGTGAAGAATGCTGGTATTATTTTGATAGGGATTGCTTCCTTTATTTTCTATAACCCAATTTCCCCTTCTTTCCTCTAGTCCGGAGAGACATTACCTTCTATCTCTTGAAGTATGTGAGTTTCCTAGAGCTGTTGTAATGAAGTACCTTGAACTGAGTGGCTTAAACAGTAGAAATCTATTGGCTCACAGTACTGGAGGACAAAAGTCCAAGATCCAGGTGTCATCAGAGTTGGCTCTTTCTGAGGGTTTCTGGTGGTTTGCTGGCAATCTTTGGCATTCCTGATCTCTGCTTTGTCTTTGTGTGGTGTTCTCCCTGGATTCATCTTGGGGTTCAGATTTGCCCTCAGCTCTTTTCTCCAACACTTGCTTCTCCATCTGTGTCTGTAGCCTAATGAATTGTACCAGCCTCTGCCAAAGACAGAAAAATATTATCAATTGCATTTGTGAAGTGCCCAGCCATCAAATACTGGGGACTCTGCCACATCTATGCCAGCTGTGTTCTCTATGCCACACCAGGGATAGTCATGATCTGCTTAGGAAGTTGCAAGGAATCCCAACAGTTTTCCTGCTTCCACTTTTATGGATTTCTACTCCTTCCTCCATGCCCTCCTTTCCAGACGCAGCTCTTGCTTTTTTTGATGTACAGTTCTTTTGTGTGTGTGTTTGTTGTGATAAAATATACACATAATATCTATCATCTTTACCGTTTTAAGTGTACAGTTCAGTGGCATTAAATATATTCACATGGGGTGCCTGGGCGGCTCAGTTGGTTGAGTGTCTGACTTCAGTTCAAGTCATGATCTCACGGTTCGTGGCTTTGAGCCCCACGTCGGGTGCTGTGCTGACAGCTCAGAGCCTGGAGCCTGCTTTGGATTCTGTATCTCCCTCTCTCTCTGCCCCTCCCCTGCTCTCTCTCTCTCAAAAATAAACATTAAAAAAAATATCCACATGGTTGTGCAGCCCTCACCACCGTCCACCTCCAGAATTCTTTCATCTTGTGAAACTGGAACTCTGTCTCTATTAAACTTATCTCCCTGTTCTCCTCCCCCCATCCCAGCCCCTGGCACCCACCATTCTGCTTTCTGTCTCTATGATTGTGACTATTCTAAGTACCACATGTAAGTGGAATCATACAGTATTTGCCTTTTCGTGACCGGCTTATTTCATGCAGTGTAATGTCTTTGGGGTTCATCCATGTGTAACATAGTATAGCATTTCTTTCCTTTCCAAGGCTGGATAATTCCATTGTATATATATGCCAAGTTTTGTTTATCCATTCATCTGTCAATGGACACTTGGGTTCCTTCCACATTGTGTCTGTTGTGACTAATGCTACTGTGGACATGCTACTCTTTGAAACTCTGCTTTCAGTTCTTTTGGGTATATGCCCAGAACTGGAATCACTGAATCATATGGTAATTCAATTTTTGATTTTTTGAGGAATCACCAAACTGTTTTCCACAGTGATTGTATCATTTGACATCTCCACCAACAGTGCACCAGGGTTCCACTTTTTCCACATCCTCATCAATGCTTGTTTTCTGTTTTTTTAGATAGTAGCCATCCTAATGGGTGTGAGGTGGTGTCTTGTGGCTTCGATTTGCATTTCCCTAATGATTGTGATGTTGAGCACCTTTTTATGTGCTACTGGTCAATTAAATATCTTTGGAGAAATGTCTATTCAAGTCCTCTGTTTTTCTGTTTTTGTTTTTGTTTTGAATTAGGTTGTTTGCTTTTTGTTGTTGAGTTGTAGGCTTTTTCTCTATATTCTAGATATTAATCCCTTTGAGACATATGATTTGCAAATATTTTGGGTTTTGTGTGTGTGTGTCTCTCTCTCTCTTTCTCTCTCTCTCTTTTTTTTTTTTTTTTTTTTTTTTTTCTGCAGCTTTGCTGGAACACGGGGCCCTTCCTAAGTGTGCTAGTTGGGTAATCCTAGCTGAGCGTGGGTGTGGGTGGGGGCTATGATGAAAATGCCACTGCCACAGCACCCCACCCTCCATTGATGCTCAGGGTGTCCCTGGAGTGGACAGAGCTGACAGTGAAAGTTGGTGACTCAAGGGTGAGGTACAGCAATGGGGCCAACAGCCCTGGGGCCTTGTTTAGAAGGCAGAATGTAGACTTGAGAAGGATGAAGACAGAACCACCTGCTGAAGCCTGAGAGAGAGGAAGAGCAGAGTGGAGGGAGGGAAGGGAGAAGAAGTGAGGAAGAAAGGAGGTAAGGCAGCCTGCTTGCTGGCTCTTCTGTCTTTGTGAGTAATGATAATTTTGCATTCTAAGGGAGGTTCCCTGTCACTCTCACTTGCTCTAACTGAGCTGAGAGTTTTCCTGAACTCCAGGGAGTGGGTGAGGTAGCAGCACTTACTTTGGACAACACTAAGATCTACCTTGAGTTGACTGGCAGGGGAGTGAGGAGCTTGTAGGAATGAGTGATTCAGTTCAGCCAGGGGTAAGGGGTAAGTCAAGAGTCCAGCTGAATGAAGTGGTCATTCCTTCCACAAACTCAGTAGGTGCTTTGCATCACTGAGGTAACACAAGGTGAGAAAGAGCACCTGATCAGAGCTGTAGGGTTCTGGGTTCTGGGTTGGCTTTACATCTGATCACACAGGATGGCCTTGTTCAAATCCCTTAACTTTTGGGCTTTGGTTTCTTCAACCCTAACTTGAAAGGATTGGCCTACATCAGTCAGTAGGCTATGATGAATTACTAGGTTAAAACATCAGGGGCGCCTGGGTGGCCCAGCAGGTTAAGCATCCAACTCTTGATTTCGGCTCAGGTCATGATTTCACAGTGCATAGAATTGAACACCTCCTCCACACTCTCTTTCTCAAAATAAATAAACCTTTAAAAATTGGAATAGAATAGAAAACATCTTAGTGCACAGTATTATTTTTTGAGACTTTTGTTTCAGACATAAATATGGGTGGTAATTCTGGGCTGAAATGTAACACTTATTTCTTATTGTGGGTTTTAGGTGAAAACTTTTTTTTAAATGTTTATTTATTTTGAGAGAAAGAGAGAGTGCGCATGTGCAAATGGGGGAGGGCCAGAGAGAGGGAGAGAAAGAATCCAAAGCAGGCTCAACACTGTCAGTGCAGAGGGGACTGCAGTACAGACAAGATTCAATCTCATGAATTATGAGATCACAATCTGAGCCAGTATTGAGTCTGATGCTCAACTGACTGAGCCACCCAGGTGCCCTCAGGTGAAAACTTTTAAGAGCACCGGAGAGGTAGATGAAGTTCCTTTCCAGCAACCACATTTTTGTATTTCTAGGTTAGTTATGAAATACCCCAAGTACGTAATATTTTTAAACAACTTTTCTCCTCACAGATTTTTCCAGGGATCTTCCTTATTTTTCATTTTGAGAAATTAAAAAGAGATGTGATCGCAAGGGTAGGAGTGGAAGGCGGAACAAACAAAGAGAAGCAAGTACTTGGCACTGAGTTTCTGGAGGACTGTGGGGTCCAGTGCACCTTTCCTCCTGTAGATACGGCAGAGGAGCGATCCACTGAGGCCAGAAGATGTGTCTTTCCAGTGCCTTCCTGCTCCTCTGCCTTCTGGGTGAGTGCACCTTGGGGCAGGGGCATGTCTACTCCGTGGAGCTGGAGATGACGGGGAGGAAGAGAATCTACAGAGACAGATCCATATAGGAGGTGTGGAAGGCTGGGAAAATCTTCCTGGAAGATTCAAAGTTTTGTTCTACTTACTTGATTCTCCCACCTATCCTCCCTTGAGAATGGAGAAGGGAAATATTATCCTCTGGATAATCACCCACTTGACTTTTCCTGACTTGGGGCATGATCCCTATTTGCCAGTGATTCTTCTATGTGGAGAATCATGTGTTGCCCTTGTCAGGGAGAGAAAGGGGTTGACTTAAGGCTAGTCAGCACATGGCTTCAGCCTCTCCCAGCTCTTATTGACTTTCCTCTGTGTCTCTGCTCCCACTTAACTCCTGGGGTGGAGGGGAAGCATCCTGTACCCCTCGTCCCCCCACAACCTGGGGAACACCAGATTACCCACTGTGGGGTCCTCACTCAGAAGCAGAGTGTTCCAGCTTTAGTCCTGTAACTTGAGAGAAACTCCCTCTCTCTCCCTTCTGTCCTCTGTGTTCAGATTCCAAATCCCACTCTTTGTAATGCTGTGTTAACATGAGGATTATTGAAGCCCGAACACGACATGGGATAGTCAGAGATGAGTCCTGCCAAAGGCGGCTTCGAGGATTAAACCCATTAACCCATTAACACATGTAAAGAGCATGGAACAGTGCCCGCTCCTTCCTAAACTCTGAATCAATACTTGCTATTATAATGAGGACAGTGCTGGATCCTTGCTCAATTTTCTCTCACTCCCCCTCTTAACGGAGGAGAGCCAGGTTGGGCCTATAACAGAGTGAAAAATCACCCAAGAGAAATGATTCAGACTAACATCACCTCCAGAGACTCAAGAAGGTCAAAATGGCTTGGTGGGGGCTGGGGGAGGGGAGAGATGAGTGTGGAAGGAGGATTTGAGAGATGAGTATGTGTGTTGTGTGGAGGGAAGTTGATTTGCCATAGAGGAAAGATTTTTTCTGGTCTGCTAGAAAAGCAGGAGAAAATTCATCTTGCTCACAGATCTGAGGGGAACACAGCTGCCCATGTAGGCACGTGTTTGTGCAGCTAGGCATGTTTCCTGTAGAGGGGTGAGCATGGGAGGATGTGGGGGGCACCCAGGGATGGGGAATGGTGTCTCTGTTCATCGAAGGTCACTGCAAGTTGGTGAACAGGGGCCAGGAGCTACAGGATGCACTGGATAAGGTGTGGGGGTTTGTGTTTTTCAGGCTATTTCACTCTGAGCATTCCCAGGATCTTAAAAGGCACAACGGGAGGAACATTGGTGATGGAGTGCCGGTACAATGTGGGAGAGGAGGGTCACAGGAAGTTCTGGTGCCGAGGGCCCAACTGGACAGACTGTGTCCGAGTCATTGAAACGGAACAGATGGCAGGGCAAGAGGTGAGGCGTGGCCGAGTAACCCTTCGAGACAACCCCAGAGAGCACCTTTTCCATGTGATCACGGAGGACCTGGAGGAAGGAGATGCAGACACTTACTGGTGCGGGGTGGACAGGGCCACAAGTGTCCCCCAGGCCCCGGTGGCCGTGACTATTTTTCCAGGTAATCCCTTCCCACACCCTTTGCCTGCATAGGTTGAGGTCATGGGTGCCCAGTCTCTCTTGCTGAGGAGTGAAAGGAGGCTCCAGCCAAGGCCCATGACTGGCTACCCAGGGGGACAGGAATGCACCTATGTGTAGGCACAGGCATCTGTAAAAGCCTGCGTCCGTGCCTACATGTAAGTGTGACTGGTGAAATAAGTCGGGTTGCATCTTGAGCCCTGGAGTCAGAAAGCTGTGTTCAAGTCTCAGCTGTGCCACTTGTGGGCTGTGTGACTTGGGCAAGTTACTTAACTGGTTTGTGCCTCAGTTTCCCCATTAGTAAAACTGGAGAACAATAGTGTTGCTGTACAGTGATTGAGAGCATTAAATGAGTTGGTAGGGGTGAAGTGCTGATCATAGTGGCTGGTAGTTAGTTAGGACTTACAAGATGGTAGCCATTGGTACTATCATCCAGGCCAAACCAAAGCTGCAACACTCACATCTCCAGGTCTGGCAGGGAAAAGTGGCTTTATTTATGGGCCTTAGGGGGTCCCCTTGTTTCTCTCCCTCAGTTATTGAAACATTATTATCTGCCTATTATGGACCTAGTCTGGCGATGTCGGGGGGAGACGGGGAAAGCAGACAGATTCAGTCTTCACAGCCCGGTGGGCTTGCAGGGAGTTGTAGATGTTGACCTTGGAGTGGAGATGAGGAAGGACAGGGACAGAGAACAGGGGAGCTTGGGAACACTGGTGGGGCAGGGGAAGCCCATCCTTTATGGACATGCAGCCACTCACTATACAGATGGTGACAGGTGCAATGTAAGTGTGTGTGGGGGCTAGTGAGATAGGGATTAAATGGTGTTTGAGTGGGGAGGGGCTACCTTGGGTACAAGACCCCCAGGAGGGCTCCCTCCCAAGGAGGTAGCACGTGAACTGGGTCATGGCCCCCCTGCCCTATGGCTCTGCTGGGGACCCCAGCCCTGGTGTCCTGCTTCTTCTTAGCCCAGCATGAACACAACTATGTATTTACAGCTCCCTCACTCGGGTCCCCACTCAGAAGGGGGCACATGAAAATCTACACCAGCATTTTTTCCATGCTTTTATTTTATGCCATATACCTGATCTGTGTGCGGGGGTGAGGGAAAGAGGGAGGGTCTGGGTCCTGCCCTCTGGAGTTTTCAGAGTCCCCACAGTGATGAGAATGTGCTGGAGCTTCACCGGAAGGCCTCTTGTGGGGTTTCTTGGAGGGCTGGCTGAGGCCCCTGAAAGACCCCTCCTTCCAGCATCCCCTGCCTGTGCCTGGGATGTCTTGGTGTGAGATGGGGCTGGGGACCCCCCCCCCCCCGAGAAGTAATATGGGATTCTCCTGCCTGGTCTTGGCACCTCCCCCAAGACACTTCTCCTCTCTGTGTAACCACAGCGTCCCTTGAAGATGGGGAGATGTGCAATGTTATGATGACTGAAGACTTTGAGCCATTGGGAGGTTGGGGCAGAGAGTGACTTGTGACCTGCTCTGTAGACTCAGCGACAGTATCAATGATGACCACTGAGACATTGGCCAGCATGGGAGCCCCAGCTCTGACCAGTTACATGGCCAGCCCTGGCCTTCCTGCTTGGTAAGAAAAGCCATGTCCCTGCAGGAGGGTCCCACTATCCTGGCTTTATAGTTTCCTGGTGGGGATGCAAGCTTGGGCTTCCCCTGGCTTTGGTGTGACACCTTAGTACTTGCTGCAGGTCCCAAGGAGAGCCAGGGCCCCTGTACCTGGCCTCTGCTTTGGTTCTCTGCTCTGTCTCCTTCCCCGTCTCTAAGTGTGAGGGTGTTAGTAGCCAGTGTTTGGGTTCCCATTCCAGCTCTACTTTTTATTAACAGGGTGATGACACTGGGCAAGTCACTTAACCCCTGCATGTCTCAGTTGCCCCATCTGTAAAATGAGGATGATTTGGGGCACCTGGGTGGCTTAGTTGGTTAAGTGTCTGACTTTTGACTTCGGCTCAGGTCATGATCTCACAGTTCATGAGATCGAGCTCCTTGTCAGGCTCTGCACTGACATTGTGGAACTTGCTTGGGATTCTCTCTCTCCTTCTCTCTCTGCCCCTTCCCTGCTCTCTCTCTCTCTCTCTCTCTTAAAATAACCAAATAAACATGAAAAAAAATAAAATGAGGGTGATTCTAGCGACTATGGTTGTTCTCGTTATTTGTGGTTGTTTTATGCCAAAAACTAGTAAAAAAATATAATCATTTATGATGTTCATGGATTCTGTGAGTCAAGCATTTGGACAGGATACAACACGGAAATTTGTCTCTGCCCCAGGATGTCTGGAACCTCAGCTGGAATCCCATATGTGGCCTCTGCATGTGGTCTGGGCTTCCTTACAATATGGTGGCTGGGTCCATGAGCAAGTGTTCCAAGACAGCCAGGTGGGCCCTGTCTCCTTTCAAAGCAATCACCAGTCCATCCAGCTTCAAAGGGATGAGAAATAGATTCCACCTCTTGATAGAGAAGAGTCAGGCTTCTGGAAGAGCATGTGGGACTAGAAATATTGCTGTGACCATTTTTGGAAAATACAACCTGCCACAGACATGATAACAGAACAGCCTTACAGAGTCCCTGTGAAGAATACATTAAGGGAATAGGGTGAAGCATGGAGCCAGGGCTCCCCACATAGTGAGCCATTCTCCCTTTTCTCTCTTCTGTCTCTCTGTCCTGGGGAACAATTTATCAGAACCAGCATGGCAGGGGGGGCGCCGATAATGGTCCATGACTTGTGTGCTGGGTTCAGAGTCCAAAGGTGGGGTGCAGAGTGGCCTCTCACTAATGCACTGTAGTCACTTTCTTCTGACCCTATTTCCTCCACCAGGCCCTTCCTGTTCTTTGCCAGCTTCCTATTCCTGGTCTTGCTGAAAGTCAGCCTCTTCCTGAGCTTCAGTTATGCTGCCGTTTGGTTGGCCTGGCTTCAGCGTCACCTCTGAGGATGATGGTCTGTCCAGCCCAGTGTAACTGCAGCTCACTCCCCAGTGACTCCCTGTCTGGTGACACAGTTCCTGGCCTCTCTGCTCCAAACTCAGCCTGGACCCATCCCTGGGATGTGAAGCCAGAAATGAATCAGCCCCAGCAGAGACTTTTGTGCCTGGGCATTGAGTCATCTTTGCCAGATCCTTTCCCGGGCTGGTCTGACAGCAGACACCAGGACTCCATGTGAGGACATGGGCTGTGGACTGAGATGGATGTGTGTTCAAACTTCAGTGCTTACAACATGACCCAGTAGAGGTTTTTGATGGCTCTCATCATCTGTTTCTTGGATTTGTATATCATTGAGATAATACATGGAGGACATTGGCTGTGTAGGAGCTTCCACATGGAGCTGCCATGGCAATTGCTGGTTTGGGTCCAGGGCACAGGGAGGAGGGTAAGCAGTTAAGGGACCTGGGAGGAGCAAGCCAGGCCTCCTGCGACTTCTGCTTGACTCTGGGCACAATGTGGGCAGGTGGTTAGCCCCCAGAGGTCTCACCCACATCTGTCTGTGCCAAATATGCATTCAGCAAATGGGAGAAGGGGATGAAGAATGTGGGTCTTGCTTTAAATGGCAGCTGAAAGCACCATCCCTATGTGCAGCAGGTTCTAGGAAGAGGATTTTCTTGTGACAAGCTGCAAACAGAGCTGCTTTGGGGCAGTGAGTGTCCAGGCACGAGGGGGCCTGACCTGACTCTAGCCTGAACCCCTCCCTGCTCCTTCTCTCTCTTTGTCCCTCTGTCCTCCATCCTCAGTGGCCTCTGTCCTGAGGAGGAGTTCCTTTCTCTTTCCTTAAGGTTCAGCCCTTATGCCCAGGGTACAGAAATCACATCTTATCTGCTATTCTTTTTGATACTCCTCTCCCCTGGATTTGTGTGATCTACAGAAGAATCCCACATGCCTTCTATGCCTTCATCCAAGGTGTTGCTAAAAATACTGAACAGGTGGGGCGCCTGGGTGGCTCAGTCGGTTGAGCGTCCGACTTTGGTTCAGGTCATGATCTCCCGGTCCGTGAGTTCAAGCCCCACGTCGGGCTCTGTGCTGACAGCTCAGAGCCTGGAGCCTGTTTCAGATTCTGTATCTCCCTCTCTCTCTGACCCTCACCCGTTCATGCTCTGTCTCTCTCTGTCTCAAAAATAAAATAAACGTTAAAAAAAATTTAAAAAAAATACTGAACAGGTGACCTCCCAGGTAGAACCTTTGGTCATCTGACTGTAGGTGTCTTGGCTTCTTTCCTGCAGGATGAGGAATGTGGCAGGCACCCTGACACTGTCCTTCTAGACAGGTGTGACAATAGGCTATCAATTGGTTACTGCCTCACTTCTAGTTGAATAAATATATCCTCACACTTTTTCATGAGTTAATTAGCAAGACAATAGGCCCTTTAACTCCTAGCACCCTAAGTAAGCGGCTTTCTCTGTACTGAAGGTCTTACAAAGAGGCCTAGTCAGAGCTAAGGGGAAATGAGTGTGGGATGAACCCACTTGCTTCTAATGAATAGGATATGGCAAATTAACAGGATGCCACTCTGCTATTTGGTTACAAAAAGACTCGGGGGTGCCTGGATGGCTCAGTCAGCTAGGCATCTGACTCTTGATTTCTGCTCAGGTCATGATCTCGCTGTTGTGAGGTTGAACCCTGCATCAGGCTCTGTGCTGGGTGTGGAGCCTGCTTGTGATTCTCTCTCTCCCTCTCCCTCTGCACCTCCCCTACTCACTCTCATGCACACACTCTCTCTCTCAAAAAAAAAAGTCTCTGGTTTCTGTCTCACTGGCTTTCACTTACTTGCTATGATGGAAGCCAGATGCTATGTTGCGAGCATGTTGGGAGGACCATATGGCAAGGAACTGAGGGGGCTTCTCACCAATATCCATAAAAGCCTTGAGTTCCATGGTCTGTGAGCAACTGAATCCTGCCAGCACCTACATGAATGAACTTAGCAACTGACCCATCCTCAGTTGAGCCTTCAGATGAGAATGTGGTCCCATTCAACACTGCAGCCTTCTGCAAACCCTGTAAACAAAGTCATGCACAATTTCTGTGGAATAGTATATATTATTGTTTTAAGCTAAGTTTTGGGGTAATTTGTTATGCAGCAGTAGGTAACTTTGATCCCATGAGTTGCCTAAGAGTAGGACCAGGAATGAAGGTTTATCTTTCTGCCTTCTCAGACTCTAGCACAGTGTTGACACACAGAACATGCACAGAAACGTTGGTTGCAGTGATGGGAAGTCACTGGTGAATCCAGGATTACCCCATCAGGGCAGGAGGCAGAGACAGGTCAATGCACATGCTCCATTTGAGGAGTGTGCAAAGAAAGGTTTAATGCAGTGTGTCTCTTTCATTCAGCTCTTACTTATCTCCAGGAATGCCCAGGGCCATGTCAGTGACTCTTGGCCAGGTTAGAGTTAGGGTTAGGGTTAGGTTTAGGTTTAATGACTTAACTCCTGGAATGCTCACATTGTCACCAATGAGTGAAATTATTCTGTAAACCCGAGACAGTGGGTCAGGATGGAGCGGGTGGTCAACATTGTTCCATGTCATCATGAAGATGCTGGTGCCTGGATTGTAGGTACTTTATCAACTCTCTTTAAGAACTCTTGCCTCAAAACGGAAGTGGGGCTTCCCTGGGTGGAGACATCTCCCACATACCTTTAGTTGGCAACCAGAGAGAAGTGCCCATTCCCATGGCCCTTGCAGAGAAGCCTCCAACCCCACCTCTAGTGTTTGCTCATGGATAAGATTCCTGATACTCCTTTACTGTATCTTTTGCTTTAAGAAGCCTTTGCCATGACCATAACTTGTTAAGTTGTTTGAGTCCTTCCAGTGAATCACCAAACTAGTGGGAGATCATGGGACCCCTTGTGCAGAATGAAAAGGTGTTTAGGGGGCAAAAGAGGAGCTTGTTATTATGAAAGGAAGGGAACGGGCTCTCTTCACCCCTCCCTTAACTCCATTATTTGGCAGAACAGTGGCACCCCCAAAGATGTCCCCATTGTAACCCCCAAAAGAACTTGCGAATATTTTACTTTTTATGGCAAAAAAATACTTTACAGATGTGATTAAGTTAAAGATCCTGAGATGGAGAGATTATCCTGGATTATCCAGTGGGCCCAATATTATTGTAAGGGTTCCTATGAAACAGAAGCTGGAGGGTCAGAGTCACAGAAAGAGATATGATAATGGGAGCCAAGGGTGGAGTGATGTGGGGCCATGAGCCACATGCAGGTGGAAGAAGTCAAGGAAGTGGATTCTGCCCTGGAGCTTCCGGAAGGAATGAAGCTCTGCTGACACTGTGACTTTGATCCTGCAAAACTAATTTCAGACTTCCAACCTCTAGAACTTTAAGACTGGTATACATCCCCCCTCCTCTTTGTGACACCAAAAAGGGCATCTAGGTTAAGATTTGAACTGTGGAAGGATGTAAACCTTGGTTATAGCTGGATCAGAAACCATCCCCCAAGAGGACCTGTGTGTGACCACAGTGGACAGGCATTTCCCACAGGGCAGGGCTGGAGTTGTGGAAAAGCTATAGGGTTGAAAGCAGAGGACAGCCTGGGATGGAAGGGTAACTGGCCTCCCAGGGATGGGTGCGCTCTGCCGTGTCTGGGTGGGGCCTCAGCAGGTGAGGGAACATGGTGCCATCAAACTCCCCTTGTGGCTGTGGTTTTGGGCCACTCTCTATTTCAGCAGGTCCTTCCCCTTTCCTGATAACTTTGCAGCTTAAAATGAAGAAGTAGCAGAGGAAGGAAGCAGATAACAAAATATGGACAGGAAGTGACAGTGTCCAGGGCTGGAACTCTTAGGCCAGATGTCAGACGAGAAGGATTTGGATGTTCTGGGGCCAGGGAGACAGGACCACCGGTCTATTTGTAGCTCGGCCCCCTCTCTGCCTTCAGGTGACTGGGGCTGGGACTTGTCACTTACTGAATCTTCCCTGGGAGGAGGAGGTGGAGAAAACAATGAAGGAAGTTCAGGCACACACAGGTCCCATGAGATCACCACCACCTAAGCAGATGGGCGGGAGGATATCGAGACCATGGCTATCACTGCACGGCACAGGCTGGGGTGGGGCATTTTGTCAGCCCACAGGTGTGTGTGTGTGTACACTTGTGATAGCAGTTGCTAGCATGACACCAGGGTCTGTGCCTAGCACTTGACATCATTGATCTCATTTATTCCTAACAACAGTCCTTAGGAGGTGGATACCACCATCCTTATGAAGAAACTGGGGGCTACAGAGGTGCCAGGGAGGGACAGGTGTACTCTCCTCAGCAGTGGGAGGCCAGTGGTTAAGGGGGACAACAGCCAAGCTTCCCATGAGAAACAAAGTAAGGACAAGCCAGAGGCCTGGTGTTTGGGTGTGCAGGGCCTCACAGGAGTAGACCCCAATTCTCAAGAGGCCTAGTGGAGTGGCACAACCTGTCTTGGGGCCGGGGAGAGTGACTGGGGCAGCAGTAATGTGAGTGGTCAGGTGAATGAGCCACTGTAAGGCAGAATTAGCAACAACTTGGGTGTGCAGCCACCAGGCATCCAGGATCCACTGGGACGTGTGCAGGCAGCAAGTGACTGTTGATCACGCATCAGAAGGTCCCATAGGCAGCCCCAGTTGTTGCCCTTGAGGATCCAAACAAAGGATCCTGAATTGGCCTTGAGCTGCACTGGAGAGTCTAGACAGAGGGATTTCGTAAGATTTGAGGAATTACTTTTTTTTTTTTTTTTTTTACCGGACCGAACAAATCCATGCCAAACTGCTGGCCAGAATCTTCTGCATGTTGCTGTCTAGTTCTCCCAGCACCATTTGTTAGAAAGACTGTCTTTTTTCCACGGGATATTCTTTCCTGCTTGGTCAAAGATTAGTTGGCCATACATTTGTGGGGCCAATTCTGGAGTCTCTATTCTATTCCATTGGTCTATGTGTCTGTTTTTGTGCCAATACCATGCTGTCTTGATGATTACAGCTTTGTAGTAGAGGCTAAAGTCTGGGATTTGCTGGCCAGAATCAAAGGGGGAAGTCCCATCACCCAGTTTGTGAAAACTTTGCTCTGCTTAGTGAAACAGTTTCTGGTGGTAGACCCTGGCTGCAAGGATGAGACTCAATAGCCCAGTGCAGTCATTTTGCACAGCAACCTGTCAGGTTAAGTGTATGTTTACCCCAGAACCTGGAACCCGGAAATCCTGCTTTGGTGAAAATTTGACAGCAAGGAAGCCAACGAATCAGACTTCAAAAGTTTCCTCATTTTCTTTCAAAACCACCAGCAACGTC